ATGTCTGGGAATTTATTTATACTGACAGTGAACTCATAGAAAAAGCCAGGAAAGCAATCCATTTATAATAGCTTTAAGAAAGCCTTCTTAGGCATAAACTCACCCAAAATTATAGAAGTCACTAGAAGATGGAAAGTCCCCCACATGCATGGATCAACAGAATTCATATTCTTTAAGTGGTCATATTCTTTTGGGGGGTTTTTTTGGTCTTTTTGCCTCAGCTGGTCTGGAGCTCACTATGTAGACCAGGCTGGCCTTGAACTCATAGAGATCCTCCTGCCTCTGCCTCCCAAGTACTGGGATTAAAGGCATGCGCCACCATGCCCGGCTAAATGATCATATTCTTAAAAGTAAACACAGACTCAGTGCAATGTTCATCAAAATTCCAAGGGGATAGAGGGAGACCCTGTCTCAAACAAGCAAGCAAAACATTCCAAGAGGAGCCAAACAGACAGCTCAGTGAGTAAGAGATCTTGTCACACAAGCCTGGTGACCTGAGTTCAATCCCCGGTAGAAAGAATCAACTGTACCAAAGTTGTCCTCCAGCCTCCACATGTGTCACGGTACACACACACCCACACACATCATATATACATGTGTGCTCAATAATAAATGACAAAATAGTCTCACGACTGCTTTTTTTAAAAATTCCAACAACACTGTTCACAGAACTAGAAACAATCCTAAAATTCATGTCAAAACACAAAAGACTTGTATCTAAAGCAATCCTGTACAGAAAAAAGCAGTCCTGGAGCTCTCCCGGTGTGTGACTTCCGGCAATACCTCAGAGCCATGGTAATGAAAGCAACGTGACTGGCAGGAAAACATAGAACAGACTGAGGGACTAGAACAGAGGGTCCAGACGTGCTCCCAGGCAGCGACAAGCTTCAAAACACACAGTGAGTTCCACAACGTCTCCCAGAGCAGCACTAAGAAAACGACATGAAGAGTGAGAGCAGCCTCTATCATTCACCCTGTGCAGAAACCGACTCAAATGGATCCATACTTTAACCGCATCTGAAAATACCGAAGGAAGCCGTGGAAAGACCACTTGAGGTGTAGGCACAGGCAACTCTCCGGAAAGCTGGTTTCCACCAGCTCTGGAAACAACAGCAAGGGTTGCCAGGTGGAACTGCTTCAAATTAAAAGGCACAACAGAAGGAACCAAGGGAGGAGAGCCAGCCTGCAGGATGGGAGAGGGTTCGTGGCATTCCTTGGATGGACTCACAGAATCTATAAAGGACACACAAGGGGCAGCTGTGGTGGCACACGCTTTAATCCCAGCACTTGGGAACAAGCCAAAAAAGAGCAACTACTGCAGCCCACAAATGGACGATCTAAATGAACATTTGTATTTGTTTTTTCTTTATTATTATTTTATGTGTATGTGTGTACTGCCTGCATGTAGGTAAGTGCACCCATGTCGTGCAACGCCAGTGGAGGACAGAAGAGGCTGTCGGATCCTCTGGAACTGGAGTTAGGGACAGTTGTTAGCTGCTGTGTGGGTGCTGGGATTCGAACCCAGGTCTTCTGCAAGAACAGCCAGTGTTCTTAACTGCTGAGCCATCTCTCCAGCCCCTAAATGAACGTTTATATTTCAAATAATGAAATATAAATGTCTGAAAGCTACCTCTTTGGTAGTGCCTAGCAGCTCCACTGATGTGGACTCTCCTCTCCAGAAACTATTACTGCTGATAAAGCCTTGAGGGGCCTTGTGAATTTTGTAAGATTCAGGAGCTTTCTGGACCTTGTACCTTTTGTTTATTTCCTGAGCCCTGAGCAGCCTAGGAGGGAATGTTTTAGTTCTGAGGAGACAGCTTAGCTAACACCCAGTGCCTTCATAGTGGAAAGACGGCCCATTCGCAGGGTGCTCAGATGGAGGCACCTTGGAGTCAGCTTCTCGGCCTCTGGCGGCCTGGGTTCCGAACTCCATGCAAATTTGCTATAGCTCCTTTTGACCTGTTTGGAGGAATATACAGAAAATTGCCGAAATGTCCATAACGTCTGGTCCTCTTTTCCCATGGGGCACAGCCTAAGACTGGACTCAAAGCTTTTCACGTGGCTGGTTGAGTATGTCTTCCATATTCAGACTGGGTTGTTCCCTTGTGCCAGTTCTTTCCTGCTAAATAAAGACAGTGGGGACCGTGGGATTTGGGATGGGGAAGGAAAGCTGCTGTTTGGGGACATGAAGCACCCCCATGGCTGTGAAAGGTTTCTGGCACAAGTGAAATTTGAAAAATGGGGTGTGCGTGTGTGTACCCTATATGTGCCAGTGTGCTTACCAGGCATGCATGCGTGGAGGCCAGCGTCAGTGTCTCCTCTGTCACTCTCTACCTCATTTTTGCAGACAGGGTCTCTCACTGAACCTAGATGTTGCCATTCTGGCTGGACCAGCTGGACAGCGGACCCCAGCAAACTTGGGTCCTCATGCTAGTGCAGCAGGCATTTTACCCACGGAGCTATCACCTCAGCCCTTGAATTTTATTTTAAAAACCCCATTAGAAACAATACACATTTATAGAGTGTACTATGTGATTATTTATTATATCATATAGATTATTGACACATGCATGTTACATGCCTTACATAATATGTATATGATGGGTACATAATATACATGTTATATGTACATGAAAATCTACATCTTTGTTCTGAGATGTAGAATTTGCATTGTTTCTACAGCTGGGCTAGCTAACAGTGAGGCTGTAGGCCGCTAGTCAGCCTCCTCAAGTCAAATTTTATCCCCATGACAGACATAGACAGCCTTAGCACCTAACACCCGTAGGACTTTAAATGAGCAAGCCCCCTTTATGGTGAGCACACATGGACAGACACTATTTCCTGTGTTTGATTAGTTACCCATTAAGATTACATGCTGTAATCTTGAGTAACAACTTGAAAAAATTATTTCTGAGTATCAGAGGATGGTAAACAAAACTTCCTGTGGCTTCCTTGCAAATCTTTCCCATGCGTCTGTTGAATTATGTGAACAGGAGAAAGAGCAGGTGATAATACAGACTTAACAGAGCTTTGTCCTCTCTCAGGCCCAAGTCTATAAACCACAGAGACTTCTTAGTCCACTCTGTCCTTACCCCTGTGTATAATGTGGATCTATCTTATTTAAGTGATACCTAACTTAGGAATTTTTAAAAATATTTTATTATTTTATGTGTTTGAGTGTATTTCCTGCATGTAGGTATGTGTACCCATGTCATGCAATGCCTGTGGGGGTCAGAAGAGGACATCAAATCCCCTGAACTGGAGTTATGGACAGTCGTTAGCCATCATGTGGGTGCTGGGAATTGAACCTGGGTCCTCTGCAAGAGCAGCCAGTGTTCTTAACCTCTCAGCCATCTCTCCAGCCCCCTAACTTACCAGTGGTGATATAGTCTAGTGTGTTTTTTGAACAAATATAATTTGTTAGGCAAGCACTGTACCATTGGGCCCCACCTGAATCCTTCCTCCCAACGTCTATGTGTTTTAACTTATAAAACTCCAGTATAAACATCTGCTACCACAGCACCTGTGATTAATGTCAGCATGACAGGATCTAGAATCACTGTGGAGACAGACCTTTGGGCATGTCTGTGAGGGAGTTTCTAGACTGGGTTAACAGAGGTTGGAAGGCCTATTCTAAATGTGGGTGGACCGTTGCATGGGCTGGGATCCTGGACTAGATGAAAAGGAGAAAGACAGCTGAGCACTAGGAATTCGTCTCTTGGCTTCCTGATCCTGGACACAGTGTGACCAGATGCCTCAGGCTCTGCCGCTGGGGCATCCAGCCATGATGGACTGCATCCTCAAACTGTGAGCCAAAATAACCCCTTCCTTCCTCAAGCTTCACTTGTTGGGTATTTTGTCACAGCAATGAGAACAGATAACTACTGTGGTCCCCTATGGGCATCGTGTGTTTAATCACCAAATGTGGGGGTGGAGGAGGTGCCATCTGTTTGTGTTCTGTCTTCCCTAGCAGGCAGGGTGGCTGCATCTGAGATGAATCTTCCCAGGCCTCCTTCTGGGCCAGGCGTAGTGCAGGGTACTGAGGAGAGTCCTGTGAGTGAGGCAGCCGAGACAGGGCAAGGATGAGGAGGCTCGGAACGTGTGCGTGTCTGGGTACAGTTGGCGATGTGCTGCTGCTGAAATAAGGCACCCAGCCTCGCTGGGCCGTGACTGGCAGGACCAGAGGCAGAAAGGGTGACATGAGCCTGGAAACAGGAGCATATTCTAGTGTCTGTCAAGAAGGTAGGACGGGGGAGCGCGGTCTGTAATGTGGTGGTTGAAATGACACCGCTCTGACATCTATGGAGTGCGGGACTGAGAGAAAAGAAGAGTCTGTTTATACCTGAGGAAGTGGGCGGGTTGAGTGTGGTCCGCAGAGTCAGGGTGGTTGCAGAAACCCAAAGGTAGTGTGAGTCTGTGGGTGTGAAATGTGTGAGGGGTCTTGACCAGGCACAGCACCATGGGGGCAGTGTCGGGTACTTAGCACTCTTCCCTTCAGTACTTTGTGAATCCCATCATCAGTGGTACTGAGATAACCTCCTATCCTCTTTACACATTGAGAGAGGTTAGACAACAGGACTCAAGTAGCCATGCTTTGCCAACCATGGCCAACAACAGACTCCTCTCCTTCCTGAAGGGATGCTCCACCTTCTGGGCCAGGGAAGGAGAGGACAGGAAGACAGGAGGCTTCCAGGAGGATCGCTACCAACTTAGGTTCTAGGGAATTAGGTACAGGAATTCTGTACAATTAGAAAAGGGAATTTTCTACTGTGTTTGGATCCCAGATAGTTAATAAAATTAAACAATTGGTAAGTAGCAGAATCCATTATGGTGCTTCCTGTGGGGGATGCCCATCAAGAAAGTCCACTTGCTGGGCGTGGTGGCATACACCTTTAATCCCAGCACTTGGGAGGCAGAGGCAGGTGGATCGCTGTGAGTTCAAGGCCAGCCTGGTCTACATAGTGAGTTCTGGGACAGCTGGGGCTACAGGGAGACCCTGTCTCAAAAAGACCAAAAAAAAAAAAAGTCCACTTATTAACCTCAAGGAACTTGGAGCCTCTGGGAGAGGCAGACAACAGAGTCATCCAGGATTTTCCTCAGGATCCTCTTGGTCTTGTCAGCAACTTCACCAACTAGTTTTTCCTGTTGCTTACATCTAAGGTAGTAGGTGCCAGAGTCACCACAGTATGGCATGTAGCTGAGAGTTGTATAGAAGAAATTGGTTGTAACATGACACATCCAAGACCACGTCCAGCCATCTTGACGGCACGTCTGGATAGCCTTGTATTCTGCAACTGATGTGTTCATGCTCTGAGCCACCTGTTGGATAGGTTCATCATCCACACCAAAGAGTGATGGGTAGTCAGTCGGGCTCTCCATCGAGTGACCAGATGTCTCAGGGAGACTTCCTATGTCTATTCTCCTCTTAATGGAATGTACTTTACTATTAATGATCTTCTCACAGATTTGGAAAAAGGTCTCTGAGAGACCATTACACCTAATTTTGGAAAGGCTTTCTTGCAACATCTTCCGAAGCTTTGGGAAGTCATGTGATGAAGGTTCAAGGCTAGATACCAGAAATACGGGAGGTCCCTTCACCCCCTCCTTCTGGAGGTTTTCCAAGATGTTCTTTTGGACATTCTGCCGCAGTTGGGATTCTGAGAGGGCACTTGTGTTGAAGTCTCTGTCCACCTTGGTCCACACCACATAGAACTTCTTTCCCATCCTCTGGATGGCTTTGGCCAGCTGCACGTGATTGGAGCTGAACTGCTCAGAAGCGATGATGATGAAGAGGTCGTACTGGCTGCCCTTCACCTCCTCGAGATAGCTCTCCACGCTCTGGGCTGTGGCCCCCAGGCCAGGCAGGTCCCACAGCTCCACGTAGGGGAAGCTGGAGGAGGAGTAGCAGGTTGGACGCTGGGTGGTCCTCACCACCCCCGTGGGAGCTGAGTCCTCCTGCTCATGTCCAACGACTCTAAGCGCGTTGATGAAGGATGACATGCCGTTGCCCGTGTCCCCCGTCACAGCGATGCTCACTGAGATGCTGGACACCTTCTGCATCACCTCCTTGACCACCAGGGCTACGTTCAGCAGCTTCCCTGCTTCCACGGCCATCTCAATACTCTTGATGACTTCTTTTGATAAAATATTGCTATCTTCCGGAATGACTACAGAATCTGTGAAGCATGTAGATGACTCAGCCTGAGGGGACACATAGGCCCCTTCCATGATGATGAGCAGTGACGCAATCTACAGATAAATAGAAAAGAGAAGGATTGTGCACATGGGCCCTCAGCAAGCATTGCTCCTTCTCCAGGTGTGTGGACCAAGCCTACACCAGGACATGCCGATTATACACAGCACGCTAAGCCATCCTGCACATGAACGCATTCTTGGAGGGTAAGGATGGTCCTGTAGCTGTGAGGCCAATACTGAATCCCAAAGCTGCACAGTGGCATGCCAGGCAGGTCACTCATCCGTGCCTGGTTGTCAGGACTACCCAGTGGACATGTCTGTGGAGCAGGGCCCAGCCTGCCACAGCTCTCTATGCCCAGCACTGGCCCCTGGGGACCCACACGTCTTCTCTGCGTTGTCGTTCTACATCAGCACCTGTTTGTTCCAGCTGCACTCTTAAGAAGCGCTTTTCCTTCTGCAGTAACTTTCAGTCATAGTGGCATAAGCAACACATGCTGCTTCTCATCAGCCCTAACAGCTGAGCCACATAACCTTTCAAATGATTTCAGCAAGGGAGGAGAGGTGGTTCAGTGGTTATGAGCTGCTCTTGCAAAGGACCAAGGTTCTACTCCCAGCACCCACATCAGGCAGTTCATAACCACCTGTAACTCCAGCTCCAGGAGATCCTACACCCTCTTCTGGTCTCTGCAGACACTACATGCATGTGGTGCACATATGTACACATTACATACACATTCATAAAAATAAATCTTTTACCCAAAAAACCCAGTAATTTTCATCAGTTTGAAGTCAGCTGCTACAACACAATGCTGCTGTTCTTACTAAGGTGAGCATTAAAAAAAATGGTGTGCTGGACTCGTCAGTTGTCAACTTGACATACCTGGGTTGAGGGAGCTTCAATTGGGGGATTGCCTCCATTGGACTGGCCTGTGACCATCTCTGTGGGGCATTTTCTTTATTGTTGAGTGATGAAGGAGGGCCCAGCCCACTGTGGGCGGTGCCACCCATGGGTAGGTGGGCCTGTGTTGTATAAGAAAGCAGATTGAGCACAGTCCAGGAACCAAGCCTGTAAGTAGCACTTTTCCATGGTCTGTGTTCCGGGTTCCTGCCCTGACTTCCCTTGCTGATGGACTATACTGTAAGCCAAATAAACCCTTTCCTCCCTTATGGAATGTGTGAAGAGCCTTGAGCCTAATTAGGGAAGTAATATAACCATAAATCCCTTAAAGTGGTTAAACACTGGCCCTAAATTGTCAGGCTGGCCTTGCTCAAACCTTATCAGCTGGTCACTCCTGGACTGAGGGAGACGTTTATGGAGTCAGCCTCTCTCCTTTACTGCCTCAAGACAGCTCACCTGCCTGAGAAAATAATCTTTGAGAGAGACCATTAAGGACACTAGACCCTGGCACGGAGTTAACCCTTGCAGCTGTGTTCAAAAGAGTTCCTATATAAGTCCAAACTGCCTCGCCCTTGAATGCGGATGCCTTCTTCCTGCAGGAAGGCTTCTGTGCCCGCCATGTCCTCTGAATAAAGGACGCAGTCCTTGCCTGTGGCAGGTCTGATCTTACTCCTATTTCTAAACTCTAAACTTCCTTTATCTGCTCACCTAAATCTAACACTCCCCAAGTTGGTTTTGGTGTTTTGATCACAGCAATAACTAGAACAGCTGGCTCTCGTTATGATGTTTTGAGGCACCAAGCGCACTTCAATGACATCACCCTGCTAACTCCTGCCTCCTCCCAACCTGAGCCACTTCTGCCATGCTGCTTTCTCACTGTGACGCAGTGAGTTTCATGAGGGTTGTATATAGAAACATGAGCCGAGTTTGCTGACAGCAGCACTGGCATCTTCCCAGTGGCGTCCCCCTGGGGAAATCTCCTTTCATCCTTCCCTCACCAGCCTTCAACTATGTGCAAAGCCTCAGGGACGGGTGGGGCTTGGCCAGCTCTTCTCCTACTGGCATGGACCCAGTGTGGATGGGCTCGCAGCTCAGTCCTGTGGAGATCTTCTACAGGTAATCACAGTGGCTGTGAATTCAAGAGTGCACCAACCATGGCATGCCCAGAAGTCAGCATTACACACATGCACACACGCATGCATACACACATACATTCTCAAGCATACACACACATATACATATATATACATTCTCAGACACAACAAATCACATTTTTACATGCATATTCATATACACATGCACATACATGCACACATACACATTCATACCATACATATGCACGCACACACATATTCACACACATATTCACACATACAACACATTCACATGCATACACATATACACACACTCACATACATATATACATACATACACACATAACACACATGCATATCCACTTCCTCCAGCATTCTTTCTGCCCCCTGAGCCTCCACACATACACACATACACATGCTCCCTGAGCCTCCACACATACACAGATCCACATACATGCATGCACACATACACATGCCCCCTGAGCCTCCACACATGCACAAACATACATGCACACATACACATGTTCCCTGAGCCTCCACATGTACACAGATACACACACACATGTTCCCTGAGCCTCCACATGTACACAGATACACACACACATGTTCCCTGAGCCTCCACATGTACACAGATACACACACACATGTTCCCTGAGCCTCCACATGTACACAGATACACACACACATGTTCCCTGAGCCTCCACATGTACACAGATACACACACACATGTTCCCTGAGCCTCCACATGTACACAGATACACACACACATGTTCCCTGAGCCTCCACATGTACACAGATACACACACACATGTTCCCTGAGCCTCCACATGTACACAGATACACACAAACACACACACACACGTTCCCTGAGCCTGGGAAGCAGGAACAGTGATGCCCCACTATGGGTGAGCACACAACCATATTTCTGCTGTTGACTAAATTCTTTCAATGAGACCAATGTGAAGGGGAGTCACGGCCAGCTTCAGCGCCCCTCAGCTCTTCTCAGTCACGTGGTTGTGTAACTTTTGGAATCTGCAGTCCCTGCCTGAAGTGGCTGACGATAAACTGCTGGGTCACCCTGTTACAAACCTCCATGGTCCTGCCCTCTCTCCTGTCTGCAAAGGCCCATTTATTTATTTATTTATTTATTTATTTATTTATTTATTTATTTATTTAATTATTTTGGTTTTTGAATACAGTGTTTCACTATATAGCCCTGGATGACATGGCACTTACTATGTAGACCAGGGTAGCCTCAAACTCACAGAGATCCCCCTGCCGCTGCCTCCCAAGTGCTGGGTATTATTACTTTTGAGACAGGGTCTCAGGTAGCCCAAGCAGGCCTGGAACTCATTATGTACCTTGAACTGCTGATTCTTCTGCCTCCCCTGAGTGCTGGGATGACAGGCAGGCAGCACCACACCCAGTTGTATGTGGTATTGGGTACAGAACCTATGGCCTTCTGTATGCTAGGCAAGCACTCTACAAACTGAGTGATACCCTCAGCCAAAACAATAATTAATACAGGTTAGTGAACTACTTGCTAGGTGTGAAGCAGGAGTTTCTGACTTGCAAAAGCATGAAGGTCCCAGCACTGAGGTGCTAGGCTGGGTACTTCAGAGGCTATGCTGTTCTGGAAAAGAGGTCTGGGAAAACGCTGCATACTGACGTGCTTCCCCCGGGGTCACGCAGTTACCTTTCTTATATGGCCCAGGCCCACATGCCCAGGAATGGCACCACCCACAGTGGGCTAGGCTCTTGCATATCAATTAGCAAGTAAGAAAATGCCCTACAGACACACCCACAGGGAACCTCCCTGACTGAGGTTCCATCTTCAGTCTCCCAGGTGCCTCTAGTTTGACAAAAACTAACCAGCACAGTGCTAGGGGGTCATATGATCTAAGCACCAGTCAAGTTCACTTGTCAGCTTGACTGGTTAGAAATGCCTAGGGCATTAGTGAGGCACACCTTTGGATATGTGAGGTATTTGGTCACAGGGATGAGAAAGGTACCTAAGACCGTATCCTTGTATGAAAATGCCATAATGCAACCCATTATTGTTTACTTTTTATTATCACATTGATTTATTTTTGTGGGTTTGTGTTTGCGGGGGACACATGTGCCATGGTGCATGTGTGGAGATCAGAGGACAACTTGTAGAGGACCATGTGGGTCCTGAGATCAAACTCAGGTCATCAGTCAGCAAGCTCCTTTGCTCACTGAACCAGCTTGCTCAACCCATTATTTTTTTGGGCTAATATGTGAGTCAGGGTCTAACCTAGCCCAAGCCAGTCTTCAAGTCACTATTCTAGTTTGCTTTCTATTGCTGTGATAAAACACTGACCAAATTCAACTTGGAGAATAAAGAAAGGGCTTATTTCACTTTACAGTTCATCGTGGAGGGGAGCCTGGGTAGGAACCTGGAGGCAGGAACTGAAGCACAGACCACTGAGGAAAGCTGCTTACTGGCTTGCTCCCCTGGCCTGTCCTCAGTCTGCTTTCTTATATAACCCAGGACCACCTGCCCAAGGGTGGCACCACCCACAGTGGGCTGGGCCCTCCCACATCACTCAATCATCAAGAAGATGCCCCACAGACATGGCCACAGGCCAGTGCAATGGAGACAGTTCCTCAGTTCAGGGTCTCTCTTCCCAGGGGTGTCAGTCGAGTGGACAGCTGAAAGGATCCAGCACAGCTACTATGTATCCAAGGCTAACCTTAAGCTCCTGAATCTCCTGCCTCCACTCCCTAAGTGCTGGGGTTACAGATGTGAGCCACCACACAGATTTTGAAAAAGCACACTCAAGAGTGGATTGCCTACACAGGGTTCTCTAGTTCATTCCTCAGCCAGTGGCCTTGCACCTCCATCAGAAGGGCTCCCAGATGTGGGAACCAGCCTGGACTAGTTATAGATCTGAGCTGTCAAGGACTTTTGTGAACACAGACCCTATTGGGCCCAAACCCTAGACCCACCCAGCATCCTCTGGGAAGATGGTGTTTAAAAGAGTGCCCTCCTATCCCCCACCAACACACACACACACACTGAGAAGACCCATGAAGGACTGAGCTGGTGCCCTGAAGAATACCAGTTTCTCCAATGTACATAAAATACTAGAACTGGGATTTTTGTTATGTTGTTGTGAAGG